GGTAAGAGATGTTCCTTGTGGCAAAGGAGTAGCCACTGGTTTGCAAGAAGCCAGGTGAACTGATTCTATCAAGTCCAAAATGTATTTTCGTTGACTCAAAAAAGTCCCATCTGCACCTCTTGTAATTTCCATGCCAGAGTGAAATATGCCTAAACCAGTGAAACTTGCAAAGGATGTTCTTTAAATTTCAGTTTTGGTTTACTCATTAGTTTGTATTATTTGTGGTGTCTGTACTAGAATTTGTAAATCTACTGTATTTTGTTGAAGACATAAAACATCACTTTGTTGTTTGAGTGCCCTATTGGTGTTTTGTTGTGCATTTAAAATGCACGGTAAATTCGACTTGGGCTTTCTCATGCTCCACATAGTTGTTTGCGGCACGATTTTGGGGCGGAATAGTTTTGTGTGACATCTTTCTTTCAGAACTGGACTCGGTGAAGAACTTATGAGATACGTGTATTGCACCATAACTACCTTGTAATCAAATATTGTTACTTGTGATGATTGTTACTGACCAATTGTTCTGTATTCCTAAAACTTGATTTTTTGTCTCCTCTTTTGAATCCTGAAAATGCTCACCTCCAATTATTCATGTGATAGCCTAAGAGCATCTCCAATAGTGAGAATGGATTGCATCCTAAATCGATGACCTTCTGTCCACGTGAATTTATCTCCAATGATGAGAATGGATTGCATTCAATATGGTCTTCTGTCCACGTGGATTGAATGGAAGGACATATTCCTAAATAACTCTCCAACAGTAGATGTTTAGATATAGTTTGTGTTATTTTTTCTTTTGTTGTCCTAAAAAATGTAAAAAAAGAGTGACAAAATACCATATATTATTATTGAATCATAGCTTACGCTAATATTTATTTTTGGAAAAGCTATCACCCACCATCTAAATTGATATTATTTTTGTATCGGTATTTTTGTAAGAATATCATTTATTCTTCATATTATTTTTGTATCATTATTTTTTTTAAGAGTATCCTTTATTTTGGTATTTACTTTTTAAATAGTTACCCATCCAAACTAATATTCCTTAGGTATTTTTGTTTCGGTATTTTTTTGTAAGGGTATCCCTTATTATGTATGTTAATATATAATTTTAACAAAATATATACCATTAAATTTATAATATTTTTGTATTTTTTATTAATTAAGATGATATTCATTAGGTATTTTTTTTATGTATCTTTTAGTTAGTACTGACAAAATATCCAGTCTAGAAGACATTTTAGATGTAGAAAGACATCTGGAAGTTTTGCGTCTCTCTCATGCCCGATCATCGCATGGATAAGTAAAAAAAATCACCGTTATAAACTTTTTTTTTTGTCCCAAGCCTCTACAATTCTACAACTGACATTCCATTGGAGATGCTCTAAGGGTTGCTTGATACAAATTTATTTCAGTTTTGATTGGATTTGCTGGTTAACCATAGTTATTTTAAAAAAAGTTAGTTTTGTTAGGTTTGAGTGAATTTTAAATTTGTATTAAAATAATATTTAAAATTGAATTATAAAAATTAATTTAATGTAAATGTGGGAGAAATGTCCGTTTGGCATGTGGCATTCACATCTGTCAGATGTGTGACACATACCCCATGTGTTGTAAATAAAAAAACTTAAAAAAAAGTTATGAAGTGTGTCACACATCACATCCAACAGATTTGAGTGCAGGGTGGCATCGACAAAACTAGTGTGACACATACCCCATGTATTGTAAATAAAAAAACTGAAAAAAAATATTTTTTTACGATATATGAGACGTGTCACACGTCCAACGGATGTGGGTGCGACTCACACGGTTTGTATCGACAAAACTAGAAATGTGATTGAAAGTGATAAGTAGTTAAAATTACGTAAGTGAATGAATAATGAATTAAAATTGATGCAATTGTGAATATGATTTGGTCGATATTACCTAATTATATGATAATATCGCCAGGGTGGCATCGACAAAACCAGAAATGCGATTGAAAGTGATGAGTGATTAAAATTATATAAGCGGATGAATAGTAAATTAAAGTTAATGTGATTGTGAGCATGATTTGATCCATATTATTTAATGTATTGAGAACAATTGAGTTAGATTAAATTTGAGCTAAATTTTGAGTTAAAAAAAGTGATTGGTTAAAAATAATTAAAAGTTGGTACCCAAGCACCTTGTAAAAAAAAATAAAAATAATAATAATAATAATAATAATAAAAACTCTAATTGATAAAATTTTATTTTCACCGTCTCCTACTCTTCACAGTAAAAACCATATCAATCAAAATCCACCCCACTGAAGCGAACTTCGTAGCGGACTTTCTAGCCTCGCTAGCGGTCCAAGGCCCGGGTGGCCTGCATATTTTGGATCAGCCCTCTCCGGGGGCTAGATTATGGCTTCAACATGATATTGCCGGTGTGTCTCATCCTCGACGGGTGCTGACATAATCGGGGTCTAGGCTTTGCCTCCTTTCTTGCACCAAAAAAAAATAAAATCCACTGCACTTCCCTATTTATCGCAAAAGTTCCTGGAAAGACGAAGGCAAAACCCCTCTCACAAGCCAAAATTCGAATAATATCTGACAAAAAACCATGCCTTTTTCGCTATCATCACGCTCTGTATACTCGCTGATCTTCACCTTATTTGCCTCCTCTTTCATCCCCGTTTCAGTTTCTGTACCTTTCATCGTTCTCCATGGTAGTTTTTTTTTTTTTTTTTTT